TAAATCCCATTCAACAAGGTCTTATTCGCTTTCTTTTTGTCATAATCTTCTTTCTTGGCTTTTTTTTATAAATCAAGCTTTTCACCACAATAAACAGATTTAATAAATACAGCTTAAAAACGATTTCTTTACCTTCCTTGTTTTTTTGCTATTAATTTCTTTGAAAACAACCAAAAACAAAAAAAACTACCGTCAACGGCAATTAATAATGAAGCAGACTTGTAGACATAACATTTCGTTTGTTTGGGTCTCTTTGTGTTGCCAAACAACCCTGGCAAGTTGTTGAATTTCTTTTGACAGATTTCAAATTAAAAGAAAAAAAAAACACAGACCAACTGCCTCTCCCATACCTCTCAATAAATTTGTCCTTTTGAGAATTATTCGGCAGGTTGAAGGAACAAAGAACTGCCTCGACTTGGAATGCCATTCATTGTTGAGCTGAGAATGGTTTTAATAGCTCTTTGCCATTGATAAGAAAATGCGATAATATATCCTGTATACAGGATATGTGTAATATATATATATATATATATATATATATATATATATATATATATATATATATATATATATATATATATATATATATATATATATATATATATATATATATATATATATATATATGTGGTTGATAGAGTGTGTGTGTGTGAGTATGGCAGAGGATTTTTATTAAACAATAACACGCAAAACTTTACTTGATTCCTTTGTTTGCTAAATATTGTTGTTGGTATTTGGTAGGTGATTTTTTTCTTTTTTCTTTTTTTTGGATGAGGCATTTTTGTCCAGCAACGAGAGCTGGCCTTGGTATTTCATTCAATTGTCCATTTTAAAGTTATGTTTACCAGGCAATTGTTATTGCTGTTATATGCGGTTCGGCTAAATTATAGCTGAACGCGGGCCAATGGGCACGCCTTCTTATCGACAGAAATTAATTACAAGGAAAGCAATTAAAAGGCAACTAGTCAAAGTTCTAAGGTATGTCTCCACACTGGAAAATTCGAGGGTTGGAGCCACTTTGATAATTAGTTGTAATTGGAAAAGTAAGCGTTTGGAAAAGTATAGAAAAAAACAACAATTAGGCACACATGTTAAAAAGTGGAAAACTATTTAAAAAAAGTGAATAAAAAATTAAAAATTAGTTACACATGTTGTAAACTTGTTACATTAACATTAAAAAGTGTCATGTTGTTACTTCCCACAAACGGGAGAGAGAGAGAGAGAGGAAAAAAGTTAGTTGTTTTGTTTCTCTTTGCAACTAATTAGACGGTAATTAGTTGGGAACTAGACAAACTAATAAATGTCAAGGCAATATTTTTTATCTTCTTTTCCAACCTATTTTTCGGTTTTGTTACCTATTCTTAAAATCTATTCATTGAACACCTTTTTTGTCTCCAAGTGGTTCCCTACCTCCTTCATGTTCGTTAATTTGAAAACATTATTCATTTATATTTTCCTTCACTTCTCGTTTGTTTGTTTCCACAAAATTAAGCTCCCAATTAATTATTGTTTTTTTTTTTTTTTTTTGGAAGGGGGGGAATTTTGTGTACACTTGGACAGGTATGACCGATGATAGTTTGATATTTTACAGACCTTTGGTATTTTCACTCCAATTAGTCCCAATAGCAAAGGAAAGCGATTCATCTGTGTTTCCCCCTTTTTTTTTTTTAAATGTTGATTTACCTTTAAATGAATGGTTATGCAAAGAATGAAACAAAAACAATAAATATAAATTGACACAATATTGTGATTTATGATGATATTTTGTGGTGCAGAGCACAGAAAATTAAATACCCTTGCTTTTTGGTATTCAAAGGAATAAAAATATGGGAATGGGAACTTAAATGGAACTGAATGCATTTTTAACAAAAAGTTGCCAATTTTTTTCAATGGAGTCAAGGACATGTTACAATTTGTCAGGTATATTCATTTACTTGAGAATGGTCGAAACTTAAAGAGCTTGCTCTTCACCAAAGTCGTTATAACAAAAAGCTGGAAATTCAGGGTAGCCTCCGATTGGCTTATGCAAGGTGAGAAACTGCAATATAGTCAAAGACCATAATTTTTAAATTTTTTTTAAAATTTTATTGAATGAAATCAAAATGTGTCTGAAATAGCATCAAATTTTTAGATTTGTTCGAGTTGGTTAGCTTTGACGCGAATTATGACCTCCAAACGGCCAATGAAACGGTCATACGCTGCCCGAATGTTGCACTGCAATATTTTGGCTCATTCCCGGCGAAGCCCTTGCTTGAGGTGATCGACACTTGGGTATTTTTTAGTGCCAAGCTTGCTTTCCAAAATACTCCAGACACAATAGTCCAACGGATTGGTATCCGGAAATTTTGGTGTCCATTGTGCGCTGGAAATGAAACGAGGAACCTCATTTTGTAACCATTCTTTGGTGGCGCGTGCTGAGTGCGATGGTGCTGAGTTGGAAAGTACAAGGTCTGCGGCCAAAATGTTTGCATGCCCAAGGCTTCAATACACCTTCCACCCATATTTTCGCGCTAATATTTGGCATTTATTTTGATACCACGGACGATTAATACGAGCGGAGAGCGACCATCGGCTGTTATGGCGGCCCACACCATCACCATGGCCGGCGCTTGAGTTCTGGTGGCCAAACGAAGGTGCACAGTTTCAGCTGACCTCTTTGGCAAGTAAACACGCTCATATTGTTTGCTTTACAAACTGCTGGACAACGAATGTTTTCTCATCGAAGATCGGAGAAAACCATATTCGGCATTTCACCACTTTCGGCCAAGCGAAGCAATTCTTTAGCTCTTTTGAGTCTGTTTTCTTTCTGTTGCGGTGTAAGTTCTTGCACTTTTTGGAATTTAACCCGATCTCATTTTTCAATATTTGCCGAATGGTATATTGCGATATGTTCAGCTCACGAGCCATTTTTCGGCCACTGCGACGCGGGTTTCGATCAAGTCGCTTCTCTTCTTTTCGAACCATTTCTGCTGATGTTGCTGTTTCCTTCCGTCCAATCCCTTGACGTCGGACTACGCTACCAGTATCACAGTCACGAGCGATGGTACGAGACACAAAAGATGTATTCACATTTAAATGCTGGAGTGCTCTAACGATAGCCACTTGTGGTTTTCCAGCCAAATATAAAGAAATCACACTATCACGCTTGAATTCCATCACAAATAACTCTTTTTCTGGAAAATTGTGTACACTTGTAAACAATATAATGAGCTGTCACTGGAATAATTTTAATAGCTGTCGGACGAGTGGCTTAGAAATGACAGCAGTCTGAAGTTGGTTGCAGTTTTTCATCTCATCCTGTATACTGCCATATTCAGCATACATATTCCTATGAGGATTTTATTCTGCCATAAGTCACACACTGATTTTTTCGTAAAACGACTTTAAGGTAATCGAAGGTAGAAAAAAATCCTTTTAACTATTACAAAATGTAGTTTCAAGTAAATGTTACTGGTTAGCGTAACCAGACAGATTTTATTTAAACATGTAAAGAAGTGAACTAAATCTAACTAAGGAACTATATAAAGTATCTAGTTCCATTTCGAATACAGTTCCACTCAATGAACGACGTTGTCACACTCTAAGATTGAGAATACATAAAGCGCTTTTTGGCTGGCTTAAGTCATCGGCTGGCTTCTTCGTAAATGAACAAAGGAGCCTGGGACCAAAATCGAACTAAGTCAACCTAAAACTCCTTTGTTCCTCTACGAAGAAACCAGCTGATCAAAAAATCTTCTATCAAAAAAGCCTTCTATGTATCTTCACCTTAATAGGTGTGATATGGTTTCTAAGAAGAGTTTTAGTTTTTATCACATAGCATGGTAGAAGAATACAGGTACTTGCATCGACACAGCTGCTGGGACAATGAAGTGTCAAACCAATTATGTAATAATATTTTTAAATGAAAAATTATTCAAATTTGTAAAAATTGTTAAAAAAAAATGCATATCATAACAACCTGCGATTGGTGTCGTATAATGCATCGTTGATGCATCTACCTGTATTCTTCTACCATTCTCAAAATGTAGTTTCGAGTAAATGTTACTGGTTAGTGTAACTAAACAGACTTTATTTGGACATGTAAAGAAGTGAACTACATCTAACTAAGAAACTATGTAAGATAACTAGTTCCCCTTTCTGATATAGTTCCACTCATATCCATATTCCTCTCATATCCATCTTCATTTGAATTATCCCATGAGAGGAATACCTATGAGGGTTTTATTCTGGCATAAGTCACACACTGCCGTTTTCGTAATTAAACAATGCCAATCTAAACTATTATTATTTTACAAAAAATTCAATCAATGATTAATGTTAGAAAAAAATCCCCTCATGTATTCACCCCTTAATTATCTTAAAAAGTATTTTCTGAGTAAATTTTACTGGTTAGCGTAACCAGACAGACTTTATTTGGACATGTTAAGAAGTGAACTGAATCTAACTAAGGAAATATATGAGGTAACTAGTTCCCTTTTCAAATATAGTTCCACTCAATGAACGGGGTTGTCAAACTCTAATGGATGTCAAATGATTTCAAGAGTTTTAATGTTTATCACTTAGTAAGAACCCAAATTGATCGGTTTTCTACAAAAAAGGTGTAAACCAACAAAATAAATAAACAACAAAATATATAAACATTTATGTATTGTTTTCATTTATGTATTCATTGTTATTTTTATTTATTTTTGTTTTTTATCTATGTGTTCGATTTAATACATTGCCACTTATCCTTTAAGTTCCTTCTCCCACGTAATTCCAATGCAATTTTACAGAAAAAAATGTAAAACAAACATTACATTTGAGACCCGTTGATGTGTAATTAAAAGTCACACACACACCCACTCATACACCCACCCACTGATACATGCAAATTATGTTTCGTATTTCTTTATCATTTGTGTTGTTGCTGTCGTCGTCGTGATGTTTTTGTACATTTTATCCTCCACACACACACACACACACATAAAAATCCATTAATTTCTCTTCTATAATTACAGTCAAATATTTGTATGCGCTCCTCATTTCCAATTGATAGCCAACCGGGAATAAAGAGACTGGGGATGAAAAACCACAATAAAAAGGATTTGATTTTTAAATATGCAGGTAAGACAGCCGGATGAGAACGTGATGGGTGAGTGAGAGAGAGAGAGAGAGAGCAGTGGTTTCGGAAAACAAACAAACATGTTCCATTTACATATGGTATTCCGTTTGAATGCCAGTGGCGGTTGTCAGAGATCCAGGTTTTAAATTTGTTATCCCGAAATGGAGGTAATGAAATGTTAAAATGAAGTAATTCCGTGCAATTAAATGCTAAATATATTTAACGTTTAAGGATAACATAGGGTAGGGATTGCTTTAGCGACCTCTTAATTATGTGCTTTGCAAAGATTCGTAATTTGTTTGGCGTATAATCAGAGTACTCAACAATCAAGGCTTAATGATGAAATTACAATCAAAATATATATATTTTGTTTAAAATTTATTAAATTTAAAAATCCCAATGTCCTTTGCATTCAATGAAAATGAAATTTCAAAACTGCTCATCGATGACCAGCTATCCAATTCAATATGAAAATCCAGGCAGGTTTATCTGCTCTACCACTGGCAAAGCTGTATTTGGTCTGGTATTTCATTTTTAAGCACCCGTCAAAACTGTTATACCTCAACATAACCGCCACCATTGTTTATTTCGAACAACAAGAACAGAAAACACACAAAAGTGGTGGGTGTCCGATTTTTATTTTTCTCCTTTTTTTTTTTTTGTTCGTTTTTGTGGCAAGTCTGCAGCTTGTCGTCGATTTCAACATTCCAACAGAAATCTATTATTGATGGCGCCCAACGGACAAAGGAGAGCATGGCATGCAATCGACAAACCGACTGGACTCGACCGGTCCGGCCAACCAATATGTTGTTGTTGGCAAGTCCAATTTAGCTCAATGTTGCCAGCTGTTGCATTCGAACAAAAAAAAAAAAAACCAACCAGTTTTAAACAATATTTTTTTTGTTCTTTCACATGTTACCTCCTTGTTCCTGGCCCCCACCCGCCCAACAAATAACTCTTGTCCTTGCAGTTTTGCAAAAATTCTCCACCATCATTAGTGGAGCAAAAGCAGCAATTGTTCTCGATTTGTGGCACACAAACACAAAAACCATCAATGTTATGTTCTATGGGAAGCACATGAAGCGGCAGGAGGGGGGCAGGCAAGAGGGGAAGATGCATTGAATGAAGGAGCAAAAAAACTCGAATTAAATTGACTGAAGTTGTTTTGTGCAAAAAAGGATCTAAATATCGAGCAATGTATAGTCTGCCCTGTAAAAAAACGAGAAAAAAGGATAATGGGATTTTTTTGTTTTGCTGTTGCGGCAAAGGAAATGCATCAGGATATAATGATTTGTTATTGGCAATACTTGAGTGTTATTGGAATGTTTAGTGATTGTAGTAATCGCTTTTGAAATGTGTTAGCTGTGAAGTAAGAATGCGGTATCTTTGAGTTTTTAGGGCTTGATGTGGCTCGCATAATGAAGCATCCGCCAGATTTAGGTTATGGCCTTAATAATCTCAAAAATCTATTTAAATTTGCTCTATGTTATAGGGAGCGCCATCTATATTTCAATTATTGTAAATTGTAAGTGGGTGGGGCAATGGGAATATACTGCTAGTGAACTGAACATATCGGCAAATATTGAAAAATGAGCTCGGGGTAAAGCCATTGAAATTCCAAAAAGTGCAAGAACTTACACCGCAATGGAAAGAAAATAGACTCAAAAGAGCTAAAGAGTTGCTTCGCTTGTCCGAAAGTGTTGAACTGCCGAATTTGGTTTTCTCCGATCTTCGATGAGAAAACATTCGTTGTCCAGCAGTTTGTAAACAAACAAAATGATCGTGTTTACTTGCCAAAGAGGTCAGCTGAAACTGTGCACCTTTGTTTGGCCACCAGAACTCAAGCGCCGGCCATGGCGATGGTGTGGGAAGTCATAACAGCCGATGGTCGCTCTCCGCTCGTATTAATCGACCGTGGCATCAGAATAAATGCCGAATATTATCGCAAAAATATTCTGGAGGGTGTATTAAAGCCTTGGGCATGCAAACATTATGGCCGCAGACTTTGGACATTCTAACAGGACATCGCACTCAGCACGCGCCTTCCAAGAATGGTTACAAAATGAGCTTCCTCGCTTCATTTCCAGTGCACAATGGTCACCAAAATCTTCGGATACCAATCTGTTGGACGATTGTGTCTGGAGAATTTTGAAAAGCAAGGTTGGCACTAAAAATATGCCGAAGTGTCGATCACCGTAAGCAAGCGCTTCGCCGGGAATGGGCCAAAATACAGCAGAGCAACATTCGGACAGTGTGTGACGGTTTCATTGGCCGTTTAAAGGCCATAATTCGTGCCAAAGGTAAAAATTATGGCGTTTGACTTCGTAGCAGTTTTTTATATCACCCAGTACGTCAAATAAATGATCTTAGCAAAGTTGGCATTAATTCAGGCCAGACAAGAGCAGGCATGCGTAATTTTCTCCATACTCACAATCAGGGCCACTTAAAAACGATGTAAAGAGAGAGTAACAAAATTGGGAGAACATAAATGTACGACTCTCTGCCCGGTCCTGATTTCTGCCCTGCCATTTTCTTTGAGACATTTTATTTTTTTCCTAATTTCTCTCTATCTGATCTGTTAACAAATCAAATTTGCAAAGTAAACAAATATTCCTTTCCTTGTCATACTCGACAGGAAAAGTTAACAATTGTCTGAACTAAAGTTTTTAACTTTCTTTGCAAAGCATTTCCCTTGTCTTTTCTCCTCAAATGGTAAAAAATAAGAAGAGTACAATGTAATCGGAATCTCCTGTTGCCACACAATTTCTGCATCCTCCACGACATGTTGGGAGGTCAGAACACCAAAAAAATACCAGAAGAAATTATAAGTTGTAATCTCAAGAGTAACAAAGTCAAAAAAGAAACTAAACTTAAATCGAAAAGGAAACACTTTGTAATTTAAACAAAAAGGAACTTGCTGACAACTATTTTCCAAAAGAAACCCAAAAGGGAAATCTCTCACAAGCCTTGTCTCATTTACGGAACTTGTTGCCTTTTTGTTTTCCAAGATAAATGTCAAATTACTTACCTTATAAGCCTTAACAAAAGATATTCAAATAATTTGTTTTCTTCCTGGTCACATCTTTTCATTTGTCATTTCTTTTGTTTCTCTCTATTTCTTTTGTATTCCCATTCTTCTCCCGCAAAACCAAACAGAAACAAGAAAAAAGACGCGAACTGCGTCTGAAACGATTTTGGCGTTCGCCAAAAACCACTTCATCCGAAGATTCAACCGGATACGAGAGTCCAACACGAGCCAAGAGCTCCTCAAATGATGTCCAGCGTTTTAATCACTTGCACTACACCAGTTTGGCCCAAAGTGCTCCCACGCATGATGGCGGAGCGGATAGCGAAGGTGGCGGTGTCGGCGGCGCTGGCAGTAAAAATAAAACATCCTTGGGCAATGGTGGCTCCTCTTCGCTTAACAATAAGCCCACATGTTCATTGCCATTACTACAAGTTTGGCCAAGTCAGGTAGGTATAAAATGCAAAAAAACAACAACAAAAACATACACATACACACAGCCATTGTGACTTCCCAAGACCTGACCTTTTGGCTGAAGGTTCATGTAAAGCTTAGATTTTTATGGTCTTGATAAAAGATAACACAACAAACAAAACAAAGCCAGCCAATGACAGCGTTGAAAATGTTACGCTTTTGAGTTCTTTCTTTTTTATTATCTGAAAATATAGGAAAAATAATTTCTTTTGTTTTTTTAATTATATTATTTTTTGTATTTGTATTTTGAACATTCTTAACACTCATACATACTGATATTTTGTATAGTTAACCCATCAGTCGTTTGTGTGCATTCATCCAGGGATGGACAATTTTAATTTACATTATTTGTTGGAAAATCTTTAGGTCTTCTTTAAAGAGTGCCTGAAAATTGGACCTTCCATTGTGGCGCCCAACGTTCGGAGCCCATATAATTTTTATAATAAATGTTATATCTCTACAACAGATGTGAAAGTAGTGTCCAATTTCCCCATCACAGGTTCTACATGGTTTGTATACAAAAGTATATTTTATATGGCGCCCAACGTGGGTCAAGTAAGAAATTTCCTACAATTGTGGCACCAGTGATAATTATTCATACAATGCAGTTATCAAATGTGAAATTAGAAAAAATTAAAGACTAGATGGCGCCCAACGTGGGAGTCTTTCGATTTTTTATTAAAAAAAAAAATATTGGAAGAAAAAATTAGAATTTACATTGTCGTGGGTTGTCTAAAAATCAGAACTACCATTCTGGCGCCCAACGTCGGGAGTTGTTATAATTTCGATATAAAATAGTATATCTTTTACATGGTTTGTATGCAAAAGTATATTTTATATGGCAACCAACGTGGGTCAAGTAAGAAATTTCCTACAATTCTGGCACCAGTGATATTTATTCATACAATGCAATTATCAAATATGAAATTAGAATCAATAAAACCCACGTTGTCGCTCAAAATGGGAGTCATTCGATTTAAAAAAAAATTAGAAAAAACAAAATTGGAATTGTCGCGAATTATTCACCTTTAAGGGTAGTCTTAAAATCAGAACTTGCATTCTGGCGCCCAACGTCGGGAGTCGTTATAATTTCGATATAAAATATTATATCCAACTTTGATCAAATTAGAAATTTCTTAAAATTCCAATTTTCATAGTAGGTTTTACAGGATTTGTTTGCAGAAGTATGTCTCATATGGCACCAAACATGGGGAAGTTAGAAATTTCCTAAGCTACCTAGGATAGTTTTTTTTTACAAAACAACCATCATATGCGAACTGGAAATCTATAATACCCTAGTTGGAGCCCAACGTAGAGGTCATTCGAATTTTTATTAAAAAGCATGGGTATCACATCCAATCTCACTACATAGCAGGAAGAAGAAATATAACATTATTAACACTTTTTCTTTCTGGCGCCCAACTTGTGGAGTCCTCATAATTTTAATATGAAATATTATGTCTTCACAGAAGATGCGAAATCTGCATCGAAAAATTCCCATGGCAGGTTTTAAAATATTTGTTTGCAAAAGTAAATATCATATGGCGCCCAACGTGGGGAAAGTTAAAAACGTCTTATAAATCGGCAGGGATAGTTTTTTTATGTAACACAACCACTGCATGCAAAATCGAAGTCTATAATAGTCTACTTGGCGCCCAACGTTAGTGGCCATCACATTTTTATTCATTCAATCACATAGCAGAAAAAGAAGTCCACCCAAAAATTAGAGCCAATATCAGAAATATAACCATTGCTGGTCTTCCTTGGCGCCCAACTTGGGTATTCCCTATAAAGCTGATCTAGAGTTAGGATATACATCCAATCACATAGCGGAACAAAAGGTCCAGTGTAACACCCAAAAATTAGAGCAAATATCAGAAATATAAAAATTGCTGGTCCTCTTTGGCGCCCAACTTGACTTATAAAGCTGATCTAGAGGTAGAGCTAATCTATCCCCACAAATTTCTTTTATGCAGTCGAAATTATTTAATTTAATTTATAATTCAATTAGCCTGGCTGACATGTCAAACTTCTTTCATTTTATGTTTATATTAGAAAATGAGTGTTTCCAGTCATATTTGGCGCCCAATGTACTGTATCTTAACTTTTATTATTTTTAATGTAAATTAATAACCAAAAAGGGGTTAACAGCTGAAAATCATATCAAGTTTCCCATCCCTGGCCTCATATGTTGTAGATTTGTTAATTTTGTTTTGTTTCTTTCATTTGTTGAGCTGATTATCATTCGCCTCGTCTCACATTACCACATATATATCTTATCTCGTCTCTTTCCCTCTACATTTCTCTCTTACTACTTGTTCGTCGTGTCTCTGTCACTGTGAGGACGCTTTAAATGGATTCCTTGTCAAAAAAAAAAAAAAAAAAACATAACAAAAACAAATATTCACACATAAAATGAAACAATAAAAAAAAACAAAACGAAACCAAAATCTCGTCGCCGCGTGTGGGTGTATGCGTGCGTGCGTACGTGTACGTTGGGTTTTAAAGCCGCTGCTTAGACAGGAAGGTTTTTTACAGTTGCGTCGTAACAGCGGTCCTGAAGGTCAAAGGGTATGCGTTCAACTCAATGAACATCAATTCTCTTTTTTTTACTCGAAACTTAACTTTTTTCTTCTTCTTAAAGCTTGCATGTTTTTTTCTTAATACTTTTATTAAACAAATTAGCTATTTTTAACAAATATTTACTCCCCCAAATAGTTCCTGCAACGTCTAACTTTCAATTTGTGGAGTATTGACAAATTGAAAGCCCCCAAAATTTTTTAATTGAATCTAGAAAAGACCCCTTCTGCTCGTATCCTTTTTGCCCCCCAATTACTCTTATTCAGTGTATATTTTTTCCTCTCACTCACATTTTTGTATATATTTAATACTTTTTTTAAACATGTTTTTTTTTCTAAATCACACCTTTCCAAGTCATCACAAAGTATAACTCTCCCCCTCCGTTACCCCTCGATTTCACAACACTTACACCATGGCAATGACTATTTCTTTTGAACCAGTTTTCTAGTGACTACTTTGCCATTCAGATCGTTAAGCACTTAATTTTTTCGCCCCCCTCCTCCTCAAGTCTAGTTTTTTTACTCTCTACTGCAAATTGCAAATTACCATTGTATTGTTGCTGCCGCTGTTGTTGTTTTGCCATTAAATCTTTGTCGTTTCCTGTTTTATTTTTAGGACTCGCCACGAGGCGAAGCTGATGGCCAGTCGTTTATATTCCCTGCCATTGCCGAGACCAGTACGAGCAGCAGCAGTGGGGGCGGCAATAGCAGCAGCACCACCAGTGGCAACACCACTCTGTTAACCAGCACATCGGGCAACAGCAGCAACAGCACCGGCAATCATTTGACTCTGAACACAGGCGAACGTCGCAACTCACTCTACTGTGATACTTTGCATGCCGGCGACTCAGGCATCGATTCTGTTCAGGCATCACCCTCACCCAATGCATTGCCTCCGCCACCGGGGGTGACTCTGATTGGTATGGCCAATCCTTCGGCCGATACGATAAGTTCCTGCAATGTTTCACCTGCCACCACGCCCACGCAAGGATCGCCCAACCCCTCGTTGCGCGGCAATCGTATGGGTGCGAGGGCCAGCATTAGCGTGGGCGCGCCAAACTATCGCCGCAAATCCAGTGCCCTACTGCATCCCGATCATGCCCGGCTGTTTGCGTTGCGCATGAAACATGCCGCCGCCTTGGAGAGGGCCCAAACTTCACCCGATCAAACATCCATTGAGGATGCGACTGAGTTTCACGACAATGGTCTGGCAACGAATTTGCGCCTCTGTTCTGCCTCGTCATCGACGACCTCGTCGCTAACCTCCGTGGCTGCGGTAAGCCTAGGCGGGGGAGTATCCTCCTCTGCTGCTGCAGCAGCACTGGCTGCTGCCGCCGGTGCGGGGGCCCAGCAGCGAGTCTCCGATCCGTGGCTACAGCCGCAATCAGATCGAGAACGTGATTCACGGCACGAGCGTCGGCGATCATCGACCGTGACGCGTTACTCGCTCTTCGATGCCCTCGATCTGGAGTATGCCTTGCTGCGTGCTGCGGCGCGCGGTTCCGTCGGCCCCTATTCGTTGAGTGAATCGATACACAAACTGACCTTTACGCAATCACTGGCGTTTCCAGCGCTGGCACGCGGTTTGGCTTCCAAACGTCGACGCTCGGCCACACGGATGAGTTCGCGTCCCCTGAATCCCAATGAATCCGGTTTAAATACCTGCGCCAAAGTGGTAACCGCCGTGATATTAGTGGCAATCTCTTTTATGGTCTTTCTCATAGTGTATAAATTTGTACGGACGTGAGGATTACTCCTGGCCCCGACAGATTTTCCCGTCACATATCAAAATGCCTATTCGCTGAGCTCTTCATCTGCGTCGGCGTCAGCAACGACTTCACTAACGGGAATAAACAATAGCAGTGCATTGAAACCATTGTCGGGGTTCAGGAGAGTGTTGGGTATCAAAGAAAGAGATTGAAACAAAACGAAAAAGGAAAAAAGAAGAAGACATAAAAGAAAAAGTGCACAAATTGAAAACCAAAAAATAAGAAAATACAACATAAAAACATATTCAAATGTGATACAATTTAAATTACAAAACCAAATTCAAATACAAATTGAATAATTTAAAAAAAAAAAATTAATTAAATCTAATTCTAAATGCAAAATCAATAATAATTGGAATGTGTTAACATTTATATTTATACATACAAAACATATTAAAAATTAAATAAATCTTATGCAACAACAATAATAACAACTAAAACAACATATGCATATAATCAACCAAAAGAAACTGACAATTTAAACATATCTTTACAAACTACAATGCAACTACAACAATCCCTAGAAATGGAACAAAAATTCTGCAACTACAGCCCTATAACAAATAACTTGACTTCTCTGCCTCCTTCTTCTTCTTCTACTCTGACTTTCACTTGCTCCTCTCCGTTTATTTCCCTCTTCAAGTAAGCCAAACAATATGCTCTTCTCTTTACTTTACTTTCTCTCTTTCTCTCTATTATGTGTTTGCTTCTCTTTTTAGCATTTAGTCAAGTAGTATTAATTAAAAACAATATAAAATAACAACGTAAATTAAGCTAAGCTAAGTTAAAAGCCTAAGCCATAAGGAAGAAACAACAAGGTTTCCTTTTTAGAGAAAACAAAAATTAACCCAAAAAGAATAACTAAAAAAAAAACAAAAACAACAATTTTTTATGAGAAATGCTCAATTTTTAAGGAAATCCCTGCTCTTTGTGAATTATTTATAAGAATCTGCTAAGCTAGCGCTTGATAAATGCAACTCAGCTAGAAATAACCCAATTCCTTTGCCAGCCATTTGCAACGAGAAAAGGATACCCCCTCACAAGACAAACCATTTCCCAGCAATGCTAGGCAAGACAACTTTTTATGGCTGTCAGCCAATCCTCTCTGTTTTCGCAGAAAAACTTGGCAGCCATGAAACCAAACCAAACCACCCGGGACGATTCTGCGAAGGCAGCAAAGAAAATCAAATTCCTGGGTGGCTGCTTGGTTTGCTTAGCTACGGGTTATTGTCACCACAATAATTCGTTGTCTATTGTCTGTCTGTTGCTCCGTTTATATTTTTCAAAGACGATAACTTAATTAATAAACACTTTTTTTCCTAGAGCGCTTTTCATCCTCCTCAAGTGCCCGGCCAATCTCTTCAATGACACTTAAATAATTGCATTGCTTGTAATGTTAGTTGCCAAGACAACAACAGCGATAGCTATCACATCATAAGAAGTGATAATAATAAGCAACTTAAGAAAACTTATAAAGGAAAACATAAAAGGAGGTAGGTTAAGATCTAATGGGAAATGAAGAAGGCTGGGATATTAGCCCTCATTATCAGAATTTATTTACTTAATCCAGATTTATTCAACCAATAGTGAGATTCTCTAGTTTATACTATTACGGACAGAAATCTCTAACTTTCACATACAACATTTTTACTAAATTTTTACCTATCGGTAGGTCTGGTTTTCTCGACGGCCTTAATATCAGAAAAAAAATATTTAGTTTTACAGAAAATTTCGTAAAATACCGAAAGTTTAAGATCGATAAATCTCGCTAACTTAATAGTTAATTATTTACAGAATCACACTCCGAAGTCGCGAGAGTTTCCACAAAGGCGTTGTTTAGACTTTGTATCTGATCATCAAAAGACTCAACTGAGGTTTACACAAGACAAATTGCCTTGATTCAGAGTTGCCATGGTAGAAGAATATAGGTAGACGCATCGACACAGCTGCTAGGACAGTGAACTGTCAAACCAAATTTGGAATTAAAATGTTGAATGAAAAATTATTTAAATTTGAAAAAATTGTTGAAAAACGAGTATTATAATATCCTCCGAATGACGACGTATAAAAAAACATATAAAAATCTACTTATATTTGAAAAGACATTGAAAAATTTTTGACGTATCAATGCTCCCAAGCGTTGATGCATCTACCTGTATTTTTCTACCATGAGAGTTGCCATCAAACAATCCCTTTTCCCACAATTTTCACGTTCTTAATCCTTTTGAAAAGACAATAATTTTCGACAAATGGGAATCGATTGAATATAGCTAAAACATAAAAGAAATTATGGACAAAATAATAAAGGAGCGAAAGCTCAAAGCTCAGATATAGTCAGGTTGTTATATGTTTACTATTTCGGTAAAGCTTAAGTGGTCAGCAGACCGTGTGTTGTCCTGTTATATTCAGCTGCTCTTTTCAGTGAATGAATTAAATGAAGACATTTACACTTCATTATTTTGGACCTAGACATCAAGGAACTGTTCCATAATTCGAAAAAAGTAATGTAATTTGCATTCAATGCATAAAAATGACCGATTTTACTGTCTATCATAAGACACAATTTGTCTGAGTAAAATTAGTAGCATGGTAGAATAAAGAATTTTTCAAAATTAGTTTTATACCCTCCACCATGCATAGTTTGGAGCATGGCTCAATAAGAAAGGTTGCTAAACTTCCAGTAAACTAGGAAAATGCAACACTGTACAATGCAACAGATCAGTCTTTTGTCTTCAGGCATGTCAAGTTCGAAGATGGACTATATCGGTCAACGATATCGAATACCCCCCATAATTGTTTAAAAATCCATACTAGAAGTTCTTTCTATATATAGCGTATAGCTTACATACAACGGTAGCTTCCGATATCGATATTTTGACGATTTTATGAACATTATTTACCAGAGTTGTATCCAATTTCGTATTTAGAATTCGTAAAGGGTACTACAGCCTATGGCAAAAAAATGTGTAAGCAGGCCCACGTCTTCGTATAGCCTCCATATGACGATACCTCCTAATATTCGGTATTTTGATGATTTTAGCGACATTAATTACCGGAGCTGTTTCAAATTTCGTATTTGAAGTTCCTAATAGGTACTACAGCCTGTGACAGAAAATTGTATATGCAGGTTCAGGTCTTCGTATAACCTCCATATAACAGAACCTTCCTATATTCGGTATTTTGATGATTTTATTCACCATTATTCACCAGATTTTTTCAAGTTTCGTATTTGAATACTGTAATGACTTATGGACCTATGCAGACCCCCGTCTTCGTATAGACCCTAATATAATGGCTATATTCGGTATTTTTAAGATTTTGACAGAATTGTTAATGATTTTTTTTTTAATTTCAAAATCCATTCCAAATGGTGGAGTGTATTCAAAGTTCAGTCCGGCCGAACTTACTGCTTTTTTACTTGTTTTATTTTAATTAGATAAAAAATCTAATGTAGACATAGTATTATAATCTAGTTTTAACACTAGTTTATTGTTCCCATCCTTCAAGGGTAATATCGTTCACTGAGATAAAATTTCAGATTTCGTGTTTTTGCTTGTTTTTCTCTTAAAGAAGTGAAGTCTTATTTATATGGAACATGTTTTAATAAAACGAGTAATTTAAATTGCCAAATTCCATTGATCATTCGTGAAATTTAGGTATCCGTGTGAATTAGCCTTCAAGTAACAAATCTTTGACATCTAAAGTACTGATTCTACGAAGATACGTCATTTAGTTGATGTATTATCAAAGAAATTGAAAATCTGAAATACGTCTGTTAATGTGACCATAATATTATACATTATTTATTGCAAATATAAACGCAATGCAATGAAAAATTGAACTCCACTGGATTTATTATGACTGCTTACAGTACATTTATATACATAAGGGGTAACCCACTGGATTTGGATTTAAATTGTCATATCCATTACTTTAACTTCAAATAAATCCTCTCAAAGTAGGTTAACCCCACAAAAAGTTCTAACGTAAACATGGCATTAGATTGAATTATTAGTTCATTGACTCTATAAGTGTTGTTATATATGATAGTAAACATAACAACATTTTAAACTTTGTTACAATTTTATGTCTCATCGACTTTGGTTGCTATACTATTCTCATCGATTTCTATCAATCGGAAGTTAATTTCTCTCCTCTCTTTCCTTATTAAGAATTTACAATCGACAATTTGTCTGACATCAGATTACAACACAACTTTCGTTATTACCCTCGAGTTGTTTCCTTCCCACTTGACATACGATCTACTGCGAAAGGGGCGAGCATTGTCGTCAAGTGCAATAAAGAAGACATACAATATGCATGTTATCATGTTTAGAATTACAGCTGTTCTACAATGTCAGTGACTAGTTAATTTGACAGAACACTGGTAGACTGACCCACAACGACAACGACAGCAACAACACTTGTGCCATAATATGCTTTTATTTACAAATTCCATGGCCACTTGTGAGAGAAACTCAGAAGAGACAAGTAGACAAATTTGGCAACAATTTGTTTGTTTTTGTTTTCATTTTTTGTCTCCCTGCAAATGCAGTGCTGCGTTTGAATGAGGAATTGGGTACATTTTTCTGAGGGATAATAAAAATTTTTATTTTGCTCTGGCTTTCCTCACCCTCCTTACCCTTCCGCAAATATTTGTCAAACTTATAACATAATATCTTTTTTATTAACTCTGCCCTCTTTGTTTTCTAATTAACCTACTAAAGTGCCTGTATATTTATTACTTTTACATACAAACCTATGTGGACATTACAAGAACACAACAATCTTAAAATTTTTTTACATTTGTAGTTACTCTAAGCTTCGAATTTATAGAATATTCTTTCCAAATAAAAACACAAAAACAAAAACTATTTAGTTTAGAAATTATTATTGAAATACATCTTAAATGAGGTTAGATAAGTTTAGATAACAAAAGAAAATAATAACTTCAATTGCTAAGAAACAAATAACCAAAACAAAAAACTAAATACTACTGCATTGCTGATATTTTATTGAAAATAAAAAAATAAGTATATGAACATGAAATAAACATAGAATATCAAATAATTTAGAAGAAAAGTCAATAGGAATTCAAAAAAAAAAAAAAAGAAAAATCAATGAAAACACAGATAATACACATACCATGGTAGAAGAATATAGGTAGACGCGTCGACATAGCTTCTTGGACAATGAACTGTCAAACCAATTTTGGAATTGAAAATGTTGAATGAAAAATTATTTAAATTTGTAAAAATTGTTGAAAAACGCGAATTATAATAGCCTCCGAATGACGTAGTATAAGAAAGTATATAAAAATCTACTTATATTTGAAAAAATCATTTAAATTTTTTTTGACATATCAATGCTCCCAAGCGTTGATGCATCTACCTGTATTCTTCTGCCATGACACATACAGAATATGCATCACTTACAGAGATTTAATGCTTTTTTAACCATAAAAACGAAGTCTTAAAATAAGATGTGTCTGGTTACCCTATGATTTGTAAAAATTGTCACTGGAAGTCAGCTGTTAACACTAAAAAGAGTGTTTCGAGAGAGAAACAGTTTGACAGTCCTTTAAATGTGCGTTTGTAAATTCTTGCCGGACAAATTTCTTCTTGCAAATACTTGCAACTTTTCTCCTTCCGGTGATATATATTTGAGCAACGCATATATTTTTTTTTTTTCGTCTCATTTGTAATTTTTGTTGCTTCACTTCTTTTTATTGCCGACAAATTGTTTTGTTTTAACAAATCAGCTGATTGCTTGTTTACTTTTCAGAGTTTCCTTGCAAAAGAGAATAAAACTACCTTTCTCTCTCAGAAGGGAGCTGTTGGACAATTCCTGCAGGAAAAGTAACCAGACAAACCTATAGTCGTGTTTTCGTTTTTCAATGAAACTCGATTTAAAAACTGTTGCGAATTTTTTCAAACTAATCAAGTTAGACTTACCAAATTCTTCTATTTCTTCCTCTCTTAAGACTTCGTTTTTAAAAGATAAGTACACACACATACATATCCTGCTGTACATTTCACAAACAAAGCAATATTCCCTAACGAATAATTTAAACAATTTCATAAGCTTTATAGCGCGTTTACACCAATTAAACTTGGATTTAGAGCTGTTGCACCATTTGTTTGCCAACTCTGGTTTTTCGTGACGATTTATTCTAAACAACACACGAAATTACCATACTATTTTATGCAACTTTGCAAAATTGGTTACAATAAAGTACCAAAAATACATCATTTTCTATAAATTGTTTGCTTAGAGATCAGCTGATTGCCAAAATGAATAGAAAATACAAATACAATAAAAATTAAAATATCAAAATGTAAAAATGACAAAGTTAAGGTGAGAATACATAAAAAGCTTTTTTTGACTGGCTTAAGTCATCAGCTGGCTTCTTCGGAATAGAACAAAGGAGCTTAGGGCCACAATCGAACTATGTTAACCTAAAAATTCTTTCTTTCTCTGCGAAGAAGCCAGCCGATGACTTAAGGTTGTAATACATAAAGCGCTTATCAGGCTGACCGAAGTCATCAGCTGGCATCCTCGGAAGTGAACATAGGAGCCCAGGGCCAAAATTGAA